CCATAATAAGCTATATTTACATTTAATTTACTTTCTTCATGAACAAGCTTGAGTCTGAACTTTTTTTCTGGTAGTGGTAAATTCAAAAAATGACAAGAAGATGCATGTTTCTTTCACTACACACAAATCGGCATAAAATATCTTCTTATCTTAAACAAAATAAAAGAAGAGGTGTTTCTAGGTTTTTTACACCATGGCAGGGATGGGGGGTATGTGAGGACAGGCAGTGAAGTCCAGTTTAAATGAGCAAAAGTTCTACCATGACAACTTCCTCAAACTGCTGGTGTTTGCACAACTGAGGAAGTGACAGAATGAGAAAAATGAGAAAACGTCAGAAGTACAGGAAGTCTTAGCTCAAAAGTCACACAGAACACATACGGGAAACCACACAGTGTTCCAAAAGGCCCTACACAACACTCAAGACCCTAGAACAGAGTTCAGTGACACTCTACTTCAGGGAATGCAGCACATCAGCTACTTAAAAAAGAAGACAATGTAATGAGGAGTAAGTAATGAGGAACACTCGTCTTTTACGTCAAGACATTTAGCACACTTTACTGAAATAATGTAAATGATGGCATACGTGGAAACACAATACATATAATAATACTAATAATAATAATACTAATAAAAATCAAAACATGTATGAAATAGCATTCAATATAACATCATTGTGTACATCAAATACACGCTGCTTAAAATTTCACTGACTATATCAAACTATATCAAACATTTCATTGACTATATCAAAACATCTCGCTGGGGATCCAGGGGTCATTAGGCTTGAGCCGACTGATGAGACTATCATGAATCACCAATAGACTGCAATTTCCAATCAAGTTGGATGCTTTAAATGTCACAAAACGCACATTCAGTGGCTTTAGGATTTTAAAATAAATGCAGCAACACCTTTCAGAAATCATGTTATTAAAGCAGAAAGTTAGAAAAAATATCTGATTTTTCTGTCTCGGCCTTAAAGGGTTAAAAATGATTTAATTCCTATAAGGCTGAGAATTTAAACCAAATGTGTTATTATTACTGTAGGATTTTGGCTTCTGACTTTTGTTTACTAAAAACATGATATTAGCCCTGTTTAAGATCACATTTACAGTGTGTTATTGCATTCAGAGTTCAGACAGGCTGCTGTTCAGTTGTTTAATCCTTGATTGTGTCACTTTGTGTGCTATAGATACAAATTTATACCCAGATATCAAGCAGTGAACTCAGAATGTAAACGATGATGCACTATAGGCATATCAGAGTTAATGCTTCTTAACATCCCACAGTACAGGGGCGGTTTATTTGGCATTAGTTTACTGCTGGATCCGAGGCTTTTAGCTAATGGATCATAACTGGCCTTGTAGGTGCAACTCATCATTCCTGCATTGCTGATAATGCGCTGCAGTTCTTTAATAACAACAAAATCCCTGCTTTTAACTGGAGCTTTACGTAATTCTGCTAAGCTCCTGGTGTATGCTGCGCCCCCTTATAGTCAACCATGATATTTTTTGAACATATATTTGTACATTAATCACAAAGGCATGTTATTATTTTTATACATATTGTTTCTCACTAGTAGCTCAAGAAGAGGAATGTTAAAAACTATTGTGTAATTTCAATTAGTCTTATTTCTGACGCAGTATGACATGCCATTATCGAAAAACATGAATGAAAGTACGTTAGCATAGCTACAAACAGTATCGGTCATCATGGAAGCTGAATTTAGTCCGTGTTTATAGATAAAAGGGTGCCATTCGGTGTCAGAAACCACATAATCATGTCTATTAGAGATTACTTAGGCATACAGTTAGCACCAGGCTAACTGCAACCTGCTAATATAAGCTTCCATTACTTGTTAGCTACATTAGGTTTGTAGCTCCAATGCTAAAACTAAAGAAACAAACTTCGTCGTAGCTGATTAATTACATTTGGGATTAGAAGGTCAATGGAGTACATTAAAAAACAGTGTCATTCTCAAGGCAACATCAATTCTGGGATTGATTCTGAAATCCATCAAATTGGCCTGGAAACTGCTAAAGCTGGGTATTGAAAATCAATACCTTATGGTACTGAGTACCAGAACGTTCCATATGATTCAAAACCACATTTCAAGACCTACAAAGTCAGTTATTAGCATCAGTGATCCAATAAGCATGCTTGTTCCAAATCTACACTGCTGACTGGCTGTTTAAATTACATTCCACATGCATGTTATATCCTTTAATGTAGTTTAATGTAGTATGTAAACACTGTTTCAAAAGTTGCATCACTCCCCAGTGCATACAGCCCATATATGGAAACTAACATGTAAAACCTATTTTCAATCGTTCGGTTTTGTTGTTTACATTTATAAAACAGTCCTAAACTCTGATTGGCTGAGCTGCATCCGAAGCCGTTGTAAAATCCACTATATATGCACACATATGACCACCTCACAACAGCTACTTTGTATATTACTGCGTCACGGCATGAAAAAAACCTTTGTGCCGTTAATGAAATAATCTCTGACTTTGATGCTGCTCGCATGGACCACCGAGTGTACTGATGAAGTAAAAAGCCGTTTTTTGTTTAAACTGAGGGGCTGGCAACTTATGTTCTCGTCTGCAACCAGGCTGGTCAGCTAGCTAACAGGCTAAAAGATAGCCAAGAGCCTAAACAAGGGCACCAGTGGATTGGTGCTAAGTAAGACTCACGGTGGCAATTTGATGACCGAAAAGTACTTATAAAGCGAAAGTTTTCGCTACAAACAGTGCTGTGTTATCATATGTTCACTGTTATACGTCAAAAAGTAAAAAAAAATAAATAAATCATGAAATGACCGCAGTATACAGTGATGGGCAAGTGAAAAATCTCCTCAAAACACCCTTCCCATGATAAAATCGCAGTAACACATGGCCTCTCATGGCTTATTTAGACCTGCCAACTCACACTGAAGTTGTAAAGAGTGTTTCAGTCTGCACTGCTGAAACACTCATATAATTAGTCTTACAGGCATAGCCTGCTGAAAAAAATGGACACTGGAACATGGTCATGAAAATGAATCATGGTTTTGGGAAAATTTAAAAACAACAAAACTGTAGAATAGTAGCATATGGGTCCTTTAATATGAGCACTTCTCGATTAGTCTGCAGCTTTTTTTTTCAGTATCTCACACACATTTCTGGTTTAGCTAGGATGCACGATGATAGTGAAATCATACTAGTATCAGGAGATATTTGCTTTGAAAACATATCACCATCAGGCAGATGTTTAGATTTGGCCAATATTTCAAACTGATATTTGGCGAGGTGTTTATTGAACTCCAGAAGAGCAGGATGTTTAGGTGACGCTGACGCGCTAAATATCTGCATTTTATTCATTTTACTCCATTTGTAACCCACAAATGAATGTTTTATTTCACTGTAATGATAATATGAGTAGATCTAGTCCCAATTTGTGTATTTTACATTGTGTATAAATGTTTAGGCATCAGCCCCCAACTCCTACATCCATTTTCAGCATGCCAGGCAGTGTCGAAAACCACATTAAGCAGGTCTAGAGTGTAAAAACCATACGTTTCCTTGTTTATGTGTGGTTAGAGAACAGCACAGCACTGAAAAAGCTCTATTGCATAACTCATAACGATTAAAACCCTAAGCCTAAGCTCAAACAGAACAGAATTATGTACATTACTGTGCAAAAGTCACAGACCATCTGAGAAAATAATATGTAAAGCCGTTTATCTGGGCAGTTAGTATTTAAACATTAGAATAAATCCAAATAAACAAATAAACAATCCATTTTGATTGCTCTGTATGTAAATGTTCAACCATTTCCAAATCTCTCCTGGAGGAAGTCCAGTATTTACAGTTACCCTCTGCTTTATCTAATTAATCCTTCATTAAATTAAATCAGCTGAAACTGAAAACCCTTGCGCTGGCTGGAGAGCAGCGAGACATCAGGAACCAACACATTCTTATTATGTTTTATTGTATATATGTTTGTTTGAGGCTATTTTAGTGATAAAGTGGGGTTCAAAAGTCAGAGAGCACTGGTGAAAATGCCTCTTTTCATTTGAAACTCTATTATCAGCATAACAATTTGAGTGAAAAGTACAATCTCGGAAATCTTACCATGCATTTCAGAATTTCTTAGTTTTTGGTGGCGTGTCCTTGCATGGACTCTACAAGCTTGTGTAAAAGTCTCTGACCAGCAGATCAAACCCACCCGAGAGTCTGAACACGAGCCTCACTGGAAGAGACCAGACTGAAAACAATCTGACCCTTTAGTACCAAAGGCCACAGCATGCTCAATTTCACAAGTGTACTTAATTTTGCCTTGAAAGGTGATCTAGAAATAGTAAAGAATACTGAATATTTATTCTCTCATATATTTAAATTTAATAAAATTCTAAAATTCTGTTGTTTATTTCCCAGTTAAAATAAAAAAACTCTGATTTTCAGTATGATCTCAGACTTTTGCACAGTACCGTATATTTAAAAATGTTGTGTTCTTCAGGCAACATGATGATATTCTAAAGTTATTGTGATAAACTGTCACAATAAGTTTTCCTGAGCGTATTGTGGATATCGTCAGTACCACTGACCAACTGCATGTTTCATAACATCGATTATTAGGCCTGTTTAATTGGATTTAGTGCAGTGTAGTTTGTAAAACAATGAATAAAATTATTATTATTATTATTATTATTATTATTATTATTACTACAGTAGGTTTTGTCTGATCCCTCTTATTAAATCTTAGAAAAACTAAATATTGTGATGCATATCACGGTACTGAAGTATCATGATATGATCATTTTGCCACATCGCCCACCCCTAACTCAAGAAGTTCATAAATGGTTGCCAGGCCTTAAAGAACGTTCACGTGACTTGCTTAAGATGTTCCAGGTTTTAATGTGCCACATCTTAAACCCATATTTTAGGCGATGTTGGCCCTGCCTTCTTCCCGAACTATCACTCCAAACCCCCTGTTTCCCATCACAGAGTTGACAGACTCACCCCCGTTGACGGCTACAGGCGCCACCACGATCCCTTTGGCCTCGGCTTTGGGCGAGTTCTGCCCGTACCGGCCGTCGTCTTTGGATATCAGCCGCTTTGGGTTGCCCCTGCTATCCAGCACTGTGGCGTTCACTGTGGCACTGTAATATTCCTCTTTGCTGACCACACTCTTGTCCGTGGCGGTCAGGGCGCACGGCAGCGCACAGAGGAGGAAGAGGAAGAGGCCTGAGTGGGTCATCTCTCGTCTGGCTCTGATCACGGCAGCACAAGGAGTCTCATGCTGCCCAACACTCACGAGCCACTGGGAGAGCTATAAAACAATCACACAAACAAACAATCAAAGAAACATTAGATATTTAAGGTAAGGGGAAGTGGGAAGGTAAAATTGGTATAAAAATGAGAGCTGGAAAATAGGAAACTCACAGCAATTTGATTCGATTCAGTTATGAGTCATCAGAAAACGATTCAATGCACCATGAAACCAGAAAATGTTACACAATAAATTTAAATATGCTTCTTTAGGAAATGATTCAGTACATCATAAATTTTCAAATTTCACCTCATTTCCTTTGAATTAAATTATGATTCTTTATTAAATGAGTCAACGCAGCAGGAAATTTCAAACTGCAGATTCGATTCAATTAATTAATTCGAAAAATGACGCAGTGCACCATATGATCACATATTAGTTATGTTATCTGTTATTTGATGTTATTTGATTTCAGTGCATTTCATCATGAAAGGATTCAAAGTATAACATAACCTTGTATTTACCATGATCTCATTCGGCTACAATTAATCAAGGAAATGATTCAATGCCTCGTTAAATTTCATAATTCTCCATATTTCAGTCTGATTGCATATCTTTAGGAAATGAACCCATGCATCTCAATTTTTTACTGTCTTTTTCTTTGATTTGATTTCATGAAAAGGTTCAGTGCATCAAGTAATATAATATTTTGCTATGATTCGATTTGGTTACTCATCAGCGACTAATCATGAAATCTCAAACCGCAAGATTCGGCTTGATTACCTCAAGAAAAGGAAAAAGATCCAATGTATCAGACAAAAGCTTATATCTCTCTGATTCAACTCAATCTCGATTAATCAGTAAACGATCCAATGATTCACAAAATTTCAAACTGGACAGATTCGATTCGCTTACAGTTCTTTAGAAAAACAATACAAAGAATCACACAATCTCAAATTTCACCATTATTTGATTTCCATTAAGATTCTTAAGGAAACTATTCAGTCATGAAATCTCAAAGTGCACCATAATTTGACAAGTTTGTTATATTTTGTTTTTAGTATTATGGAAAATTATTTAAATGATTTGAAAACAGGCTATTTACACACAGAACCAGGTCACATTGGTCACATTGCTCATTTCTTGTTGTCCCCTGACACATTTCACTTTATATAACTTGTGTTATACAATATCCACCTTTTGTAATGAAACAACCATTTTAAAATCAGCATATATATATATATATATATATATACACACACACACACACACACACACACACACACACACACACACACATACATACATATATATATATATATATATATATATATATATATATATATATATATATTAAAGAACGCTGACAAACTGCATGTTTAATTACAGAAGGAGCATATTTAGTCCTGTGAAAGTGGATTAAGGGCAGCAGTGTGTGAAATGTTGAATACAAATCAAAGTATTAGTAGTTTCTGAAAGTATTTTTAAAATGTATTCTTTGTTGTCTGTTCCAACTTATCACGTCAGATAAAATAAATACTGTAACACATTGTTGACTGTGAGAAGTTCCTGAAAAATAAATGATATTATATTTCTGCCACATCATTCACCTTTAATTAGCTGCTATATACCTGATATCTAATGCTTTACATGTCAGTTTTACTGTACAGATGAGCAGTAGCTTTCTGAGAACCATCCTGCAACCCCCCAAAAACTACTGCGCATACTTGTAGTGGGCAGTATGGGCAAAAATTTATATCACAGTATAATTAAGATTACTGATTATTTTAGTATATATCACAGTATAGTGTATTTATGTTATAAAACATTTCTGATTTTTGTAGATTAACAGTGGCATATTATTCTGAATGTCCCTTCAATTTTAAAAGCAATCACATTTAACAACTGAAGTGAATCTAAAATATTTTTATTGGGCAAAATAGTGAAAATAGAAATGAACAATATATAGGCAGATATCAGCACTGCTTCATCCCTAACAAGTTAAAGGAGAGTGTACGTAAAGCCCACCGCTCCTTCTCTAAATGGTAATAAATGTTCTTTTACATCTGAAAGTTATTTGTCTCATACGAGCATCTCTCACACTTTAATCTATAAGATGCCACTGGAATTTAGTAAATATTATAGCCATTCACACTATCAGTTTTAGCTGAGAAGCTGCAGAGCAGCATTTCCTGAAGCAGCTGGCAGAGCGAGGAGTGCTGCACATGGACAGCCAGCTAGTCTCCGTGCTAGGCTAATAGCTAACGACTACCCTAAGAGACTGGCTTTTCCTTCCACTCTCTTTTCCCCAGTTAACTCATTAACTCCTTACAATCCGATGTCACTCCTTCGGTAATAAACTGGACTAACTGACCTCAGCCTGCAGCTCACTGTGTGAGAGGTGAGGGAATCAGTGTGTTTTGTTCTGTTTGTACGTCACGTTATCTGCATTAATTTGCATACGGATGTAACAGTAACGACAGAACTAGAAAATTTTGATTTCAGCCGTTGTACCGGTCACTACTGAAGCACACTTTCAAGAAGTGGGTGGGACACCTTCTCCTGAATCGAGAAAATATTTCTACAATTCTGACTACAAAATTGTAATTTTGGTCACAAGTTTCCATGGTGGCCTGCGTGGCCATCTGTCTACTCCTGAATAAAACTATTTACACAGAAGACAATAAAATTTGTTTAATTTAATATCAACATTTATGAATGTTATTAGGGTCAAATAGAGCGTACACTTCAGTACACATCATTACATGCAGTTATAACTGATTCTAACAGTCCACAATAGATGCAGCTGAACTGCAACCTTCAGATCAAAGCATTTTACACATTCCACTAGAAAAAAAAAAGACAATATAAAAAATAAACAATAAACAGTCCCTTGAAGGAAGAGAGGAGACGAAAATGAACTGCTAAAGAAGCATAACAGGCCATACAGTGTGAACACTGTGCTGTGACACTACTTCAGAAATGATAAAGAAGCATATTGTCTGTTAGCAAATAAATAAATAAATAAATAAATAAATAAATAAATAACGGACATAATCACCTAACGACGAGGTGAGTGAGAGGCGGCCAGGCGCTCCGTCTGTTCGCTCTTAACGCTATTTTACGTGTCAAATACCGTGCATGCACACACAATCACGCGCGCGCACATACACCTACGTCGCATGCACGCGCGCATACACATACACATAACGCAGCCATATATGCACCCACACACGGACGTCGTGCATATATGAATGCGCTCGCATACATCTGCATACACACACGAGCGCGCGCATACAGTCCTGTCTCTCGTTCTGGCTGTCTTGGCGCGCGTGCACACACCCTGTTCTCTCAGTGTGTCTGTGTATGTTATATTGTATCTTTCTGTCTCACCTGCTCTGGAGGGAAACGCTAACATCCACGCGCCGCTCCTCTTTCTGCGCGCGCGTGTGATGTCCGAGCGAAGCCGCGGCCCGTTTACCGCGAGCGCACACACATACGCGCTCTCTGTCTCTGTCTCTCTCGCGCGCTGTGAGGCTGTGTGTGTATGTGTGTGAGGGGAGGATGTGCTCAGAGTCTCTTCCTCCTTCTGCAATAAAAAAAGAAACAGGCCGAGCGAGACAGCGCCCACTAGCGGCAGAGATACACACATACATCCCATTTACATATATATATATATATATATATATATATATATATATATATATATATATATATATATATATACCGATCAGGCATAACATTATGACCACCTCCTTGTTTCTACGCTCATTGTCCATTTTTTCTGCTCCGCTTACTATATAGGTGCACTTTGTAGTTCTACAATTACAGACTGTAGTCCATCTGTTTCTCTGCATACTTTGTTAGCCCCCTTTTATCGTGTTCTTCAGTGGTCAGGACCCCCATGGACCCTCACAGAGCTATTTGGGTGGTGGCTCATTCTCAGCACTGCAGTAACACCGACGTGGTGGTGGCGTGTTAGTGTGTGCTGCACTGGTCTGAGTGGATCAGACACAGCAGTGCTGCTGGAGTTTTTAAACCCTTTGTCCACTTACTGTCCACTTTATTAGACACTCATAGGATGTTGTTAGCTGGATATTTTTGGTTTGTGGACTATTCTCAGTCCAGCAGTGACACTGAGGTGTTTAAAAACTCCAGCAGCGCTGGTCTGTCTGATCCAGCGCAACACACACTACATAGTATATAAAATATATTGCTTTTTACTGATGGTTTTTGGCTTGGCAGAGTCCAGATTAAAACCCTATAGAGAATATTTGGTCTCACATTAAACACAAACTAGCTCAGCAACGTTTTTCAGCTGTTTGAAGCCGTCAATGCTGAGCGGAAAAATACTGACTGTAAATTTTCACCTAAAACTTCAACATTTCAAGAAATCAAAGGGAAAGTCTCTTCTATATTAACGTACTGCATCTATTTGTTTAATAATTTGTTACTAAGACCATTAAATACATAATGTTTTGCCTTTTTTTTTTTGCCCAGGAGTGTATCTCTCTTTCTCTCTTTCTCTCTCTCTCTCTCTCTCTCTCTCTCTCTCTATATATATATATATATATATATATACCCGCCACTGGCTGATGCTGGCCTCTAGACAATCAGGAGGCAAAGCCAAGAGGCTCATGGGAGGCAAGGGCCCTCCAGAAAAGGGACTTAAATGTTGTTTATGTTGTTGTTTGTCAGTTCAAAATATGTTGTATGCATGTGTTTGTCGTGTTGTTCTTTGTCAAGGCTTCACTCAGTGTGGGTCAGCGGTCACCATGAAGGTGAAGTGTATGGTTAGTGGAGACCCCACGAGTTCAGTGCTTTGTATGTTCCTTCCTGCTCTACTGTTTGATAGAGCACTCCTCAGGGTTAAATCAGGGTCTCCATTGAGTTTTACTCTATGCCAACACTATTATATATGTAAGCACACTCTCCAGCCACTTCATCACAATCCCCACTTTGATGGTGTACAGTTTGTGGTAATTATCCTCTTCATCTTCATCACTGTTCAGTTTCTGACCACAGAGCCACTCTTAGCTGGATATATTTGGGTGGCAGTCCACTCTCAGTCTAGCAGTGACCTAAATTTACTGAAAATAATAACAACATTTTGAAATAGGTTTAATAATCTTACAGGACTCTGGTGATAATGATGTCAGAATGAAAACTGTCTCTGTCCTGGCTCCGCCCCCTGCTGCCTCACCTTGTTATCAGTCCTCCTCTCCTAGGTGTTTCTCTCTTATGTAAGCAGCTTGTTTCTCTGCCTCCTTTGTCTTGTGTCTAGTTTCTCACGTTGTTTTTGCTGCCTCTCTGTTACCTACAGTGTTGGGGTAGTTACTCAAAAAAAGTAATCCATTACCAATTACTCATTACTTAACTAAATTGAAATAGGATTACTTTACTCATTACTTTCTGGAAAATGTAATCTCAAAGCTCATCACTTTACTTTCAAGTTCTAAAAGCCATACGCAATATACTGGAATCAAATCTACAGACATATCTGTAAAGTACAAAAATGATAGACAATAGTTCTTTCCATAGTTTATTTAGGAACACAATGTACCAGTAAAAGCTACACTAAACACGCATAAAGTGAATTTCACTATACTTGTTACTATTTTCTCTGAACAAGTCCATACATACATACTGTACATACAAGTCTATATGTACAGTATTTAAGCAATAGAAAAATATAGTCCAATAAAAGTTTCTTTAGTGGTCCAACAAAACAAAACCTATATTGCAAGCATGTGGACAGGCAAGTAAAAGAACTGAATTAAATAGCTTGCATGTTTTTCAGTCTGATATCGGTACACTTTTGCACATGACTGATGTCTTGTTCAGTATTTGTCTAAATCAGCAGTCGGCAACTCGCGGCTCTGGAGCCGTAGTAGTTCTTCTACTGCCCTGTTGCGGCTCCACAGCAGAATTCGATTTTTAGGTTAAAAAAATCCTCCTTTTCAGTAAAATAAAGCTCTGCTGATCATTCTAACACAGTTTTAACAGTAAATGGTCTTAAACGCTGTAGTCAAAGTAGCCTATAACTGCTAATTTACCCATTTCAACTCTGTTGGCGCTCAGACTGCTGCTCACACAGCAACACAGACAATAGTCTTGTCTAGCTAGTAGCTAACAAAAAGACAAAGAGAGAGATGTAAGATGAACATCAATAATTTGGAGACGAATGGACGTATTTGCATTTATAATCACTCCAGCTGGTTTCCTGATATGTTTTATCTGCAATGAGAAACTGTCAAACACTAAGATTTGGTAATGTTGGCAAATAAGAAGCCTCATAAAGTCAAACATTGAGAGACATATTATGAGACATTATTTCGCTTTTCCTGCAAGAGATGCGAGAAAAGCGGCAATAGGTGACCTAAAACTTAAAGCAGAGCAAAGTAAGTCTGCATTTTTGTTTATATTGTTATTTTTATCCTATATTTACAGCCAAGATGGTAAAATAGCAATAAACAGCTCGGGGAATGCTTCATATTTTGTGTATTAAAAATAATAATTTTATAGAAAAACGTAAGTAATGCAAGTAACAATTTTTATTAAGTTAGTAACCGTAATTTGATTACAAAATATTTAACTGTAATGCGTTACATTACTTAGTTACAGAAAAAAGTAATCATATTACTGTAATGCATTACTTTGTACCTCATTACCCCCAACACTGGTTACCTGTACCATGTTTAGCATGTACGCTGTCTGTCTATCTATCTATCTATCTATCTATCTATCTAGGTCCTCTACAGGATCTGCGGTAAAAGGCAGAGAACACTGACATCTTGTGGTCGTTTTGTCTAGTAAATCTGTTTGTACAGGAAAACAGCTGAACAGCTGAACAGCAGAGACAGCAGAGCAGCCCAAGATTTCCTCACTCAATATCCCTCACATGTGGGCCAGCAGTGCCCCCCACTTTCAGGACTGTTTAACTGCAACTGCTGCAAAACAATGCTGAGATTCAGAGTGTAGTGAAGATATACAGTTGTATGCAAAAGTTTGAACACCACTGTACAAATGACATTTTGTTGGTTTTGTCAATAACACATCCTTCGTAGAGAACTCACTTAAATATGGTATTCTGATTTTTCTCTGCTGATTTTAGTGCACTGTTTCTGTAAGACAATAAGACATAAAATATCACTTTTGTTAAAAAACAAAACATCTCTTTCGCACAGGTTTTTATGTTTTATTATTTGTCCCCCAAAATGCATTAAAATGTGCAGAAGTGTGTAGAGGATGTTCAAATTATTTTCACTTAGGAAACAAACTAATACATGGAATTTGACCAGAGGGTGCTCAAACTTCTGCCTATGACTGTACGAGTGCTTGTTGTAAGGTGTTTATTGTATGCATTTTATTATATTCATACAGTGTTGTGTAAAAGTATTTGCAGCATCCATCCAATATGCATGCACGATTGTAAAGGAGCAGCCAGGGTGGCCCTTCCCTGAAATCTGGCCACCCCAGATGCCACCCCAAAATTTCTGTCACATCAGGGGCTTCCACCTCACTGTGGGTGTCACGCCTTCCATAGCAGAGACTAACACTCCTCACTCCGTTCAGCACTCCAACTCCCAGAATCCTCTGGTAGGTCACATGAACACGAACTCTCAGTAATCCAGCTGTCCACATTCTTGCTCGCCTGATTATTGATTGTTGACACCTGTTGTATGGACTATATATGTCTGTTTGCATCGGCTGTTTCTTTGCAAAGTACCAGTTTCTGCATTACCGAGCCATTGTTTTTCATGTTTTCACTGTCTGGTTTGTGTTTCCGCTCGTTCTCTTGTTTATGACTTAAGCCTTATCACTCTGGACTCTGTTTGCTCTTTTGTGTATCGACCCTCACCTGCTCTGTACCTTGATTTTGGATTTACCCATATTAAACATCTTCTACTTTAGCCTGCTCTGCGAGCGTCTGGCTATTCCCAAGCCGTCACAGTGTTATGGGTGTTTGTGTCTTAAGAGAAATCAGTGATGGATGGAATAACTGTCCGAGCTCTTTCCAACCAACTCAACCCCCCCACTTGTGTTCTCCTAATCTGTATGAACAGCATTTTGGAAAACAGGAAATGCTTGTTGATTTTTCTTGTATTCTTGTGTTAATTGTATTTATTTGTCTGTATTTTGATGTTAATTCGTTTTTTGTACAAACAAAAACCACCTACTACCCAGAGAATTTTAATTGCAAATTCTCAGCTGCTGTTGTGTTTGCCGTATTGATGACTTGTCTAGAGCTGTACAGTCATCATTGCATTATACTATAATTACACTATAATTGTACTGTAATTAAACTGCATTATCTCTGCTATCATTGGAAACGTAAACTTTGGTTGTGAACAACAAAGCTTAGGAAGGAGTTATAATAGTTGAATGTGCTGTTCATCCTAAATACACACAAATATCTACATCAAAATAAATGTGACTTGAAATAAATTTTGTTTACATCTGTAGCATATTTCCGATGAATCTGTGAATAAAAACCCCTGTTTACTTTGAGGGTCTTAAGAGTGTGTAAACCCCTTAAATGGCAAGAGCCCACCAGCAGG